GGAAAAAAAAGCATAAACACAAAAAAGAACAAGATAAAACAGATATACAGAGAATATCATACGGATATAGAGAACGAGTGAAAAAACTCAAACCGACAGAACGTCAGGACTCTTTGCAGGTAAAAGGCCAGACCAAGTAAAAAAAAAATAAAAAAAAAATAAAAAAAAAAAAAACGGCTACCAAATTCTACGGGAGTGCTTACCGGCTCTCAACAATGTTATTCTCGGTCCTTGCACGTGTCCATGCCCCGGATTACAAACGGGCCGGGTAGCCGGGAAAAAGGGACAAACCCGACTGGACAGGGAAGACCTCTCTCGTTTTCAAAAAAGTTGTACTATTTGGGGTCCTAATCATAAATCCGCAGTTGCGACGGTTATTTTGTGTCCAAGTCGCGAGTCAGGACGACTAGTAGGGACGGTGGTCAGTGCCACTAAACAAATGTGTTAGACTGTTGACCTTCGTTTCTTCCTCTTCGGGAGGCCGCGGATTTTTGTGTTTAATTTGTGCGTCCATTTTGCCCTTCGTAAGGCCATCGTGAGGGCATCTTGTCAAATCGTGTCATCTTCGTCTTTACTTCGTGTGATCATCTGTGCCATCGGGCATTTTCCGCTTCACGAAGACAATACGAAGGAAACAAGAAGCTGCCCGATTGTCTTAGGATGGCAACACGACTACGTGAAGCCCTCGCATTGCCGTCGTGTAGCCATCGTATTATAGTACAATGACATCGAGATGGGACCACGGTGTCGGCGAAGACAGCCGAATTTTAGTAGCTCAAGCATTTCCCATGTGTCATGGTAGCATGGACATATAAAAGGCCAGCCTCAGAGCATCTTCCTCAGTCAGTCCTGAGCAACTCTACAGAGCAGAGGCGTGTGTAACTCCCAAAGCTTCAATAACAATTAATCACAATTCAGTTCCTGCTGAATGGCATACTTTGATGATGAGATAACCAGGAAAAAGAAGGCAGCAGCAGCAGTGCTTCTTTTGATGCACCTCAGAGAACATGATGAGCAACTCTTACAGGCCCAGCACCTCCTCTTACAGTTAAAAATGGTCTTATTTCACTTTGTCATTTCTTGCTATTTGTGACCTGCTCTATCGAAATCAGTAGTAGTGATGATACATGTATTAAGCAGGTGAAACAGGAGCATGAGGACACGGTGTGCTATGTTTCCTTGCAGATTACTTCTCTGGTTGTTTTATTGCACAACAAAATCATGTAAACATTATGTAAATAACCCAATTTGTGGATATTACATTGTTTTTGTTACTTTCGTTGCAGTTGTATGTCTTAAATGTAATTTAGGTTAACTTCCTGTTTTTATTTTGAAGGCAAGTTTACGCTGTTGACAGGAAGTTGTTGTTGCTATGGAAACAACATACCTTTGTGTGTGGTTCGGGTGCTATCGTGTGGCCTTCTGTAGGCATCGTACTTGCTTCGGCTGTTGCTTGGCTGTTGACCAAGTTCGTGGAACATCTTCGTGCGAAATTCACAATTCCATATTTGTGTGTCCATCTGGTGTCAATTTCGGGACAGTGTGACGCCAGCTTTAGAAAGGTGCTTCAATGCTAACCTTGTTATCTCCTTTCGTGTAAAGTACTGTGAAATTTCCTTTACCTGAGGAAAAAGCCAAATTTGAAGCAATGGACCATTTGTCCATACTGAAAAACAAACTATCAACATGATCGAAATAGGGACGCAGATTTGGTCTGTTCATAAATTCATACAAATTGGATTTTATGTGGATAAAGAAGAGGGGTTATGAGGGTGAGCCTTATCAACAATTCTCAATGAAACAACCATCTTTGGAAAGTTGAACTTTGACCACGTCAACACATCCACCATAGAATGGGAGGGATGCAACCCTCTTTAATGGTCACACAGGCAGAGCACAGCACACACAGTGAAATGTGTTCTCTGCATTTAACCAATCCTAGCACGAGGAGCAGTGGGCAGCTATTGTACAGCGCCCGGGATGCAATGGGAGTTGGGGGGTGGGGGGTTGTCCGGTTCCTTGCTCAAGGGCACCACGGCATGGCAGGAGGTGGACTGGGACCTCTCCAAGTGCCAGTCCTCACTCCATATGACTGAGCCACTGCCATCGTATAATTAGCACCGCTGTAATCTTTGTGGGAAATCTGTAAGGAAAATAAAGGAATATCAGAGCTCAGCCATAGAGTGAAACTAGACAGGAAGTACAACTTTAGTTGCTCCTGATGTCATTGCGGCCACTTGCTAAATTAAAACAGCAGCAGATAAACTCTCCACATTGTAAAGGGCTTTTGACAGACACTGCTGAAACGTTATTGGTCAGTGGGACACCATCAGCAAGGCACTGCAAATATCAAGCGTGTTAGATACCGGCGGAGGACTGCCCTCAGGGGTTAACCTCTTAAGGCCCACGGACCCGGTTCCGGAGCCGAAATCGCGTCATTTGCAGGAAACAACGTCTAAGGAACCTTAATATTTAATAAACTATGAATTTTTTATATCCATATAACGGGGAAAAACTCATTTAACTGATCTTTTTTTTTTTTTAAATAAAAAAAAACACAATAACAGTGAGCCTCTGAATTAGCCCGAGCGAAAAATGCTAACCTATTACTGCACCGAAAATCACTCCTAGCTCCCTTATTACTTATCCTAGCTGCACATCCAACACATCCTTTATGATCGTAAAGACACAGAATCTAACGGTGCCCACCTAAACACTGAAAGATACAAACTTGTGACGTTATCAACAAAAACGTACATCAAAACAAGTGGCGCTAGGTTAAGGTGACCAGATTTTCAAAATTAAAACCGGGGACATTTTGAGTTTTGCGGTCAATATATCATTAACATATCCACTTTTCTTCACTGTTAAAGAAAAAAGGGGGACAATTCTGGTTCAATGTAATTCGAACATTTGAACTGTTGGACACAAACAGAAGGACGATAGCTCATATATGAGACTTCAAAGGTCTTTTATTTTGAAACTGTACATCAGATTGTCCAGATTCTCTCTGAGTGATTAGATGGGGTGTCCTGCTATCACCCTGGAGTGAAATAAGGCTTTGATACTGGATAGTTTTTGTTTTATTCTTATCTAAAAACAGAGGGATGATAGCTCATATATGAGACTTCAGAGGTCTTTTATTTTGAAACTCTACTTCAGATTGTCCTGATTCTCTCTGAGTGACTAGATGGGGTGTCCTACTATCACCCTGGAGTGAAATAAGGCTTTGATACTGGATAGTTTTTGTTTTATTCTTATCTAAAAACAGAGGGATGATAGCTCATATATGAGACTTCAGAGGTCTTTTATTTTGAAATCTGAAGTCTCATATATGAGCTATCATCCCTCTGTTTTTAGATAAGAATAAAACAAAAACTATCCAGTATCAAAGCCTTATTTNTGAAGCAGAAAAACGCTTGTAAATGTGTAACCGAAACCAAGTACTGAGTCATTCTTAACCTGCCACAAGTGTCCAAAACATCAGTGTGTGTTACAAAGCAATGAAATGCTGGTCACAGGACTGAAAAGCGCAACTACAATAATATATTTACTTACTCCCATGTCAAAGACACAGCGGGCGTCAGATATGGCATGAACGTACACCTGGTCATCCTCGCAGGAGCTGGAAATGTGAGACCTTGGGGGAGAAAATGAGAGGGAAAGTTAATGATCAAAATGTAAAATCTTCACAAGGAGTTAAAACGTTATCCAGTAGCAGGTTAGACTTCATCTTTGATCCAGAGAGAGCTGAGGTAAAGAAAGCTGCTGTCATTCCACATATCAGTATGTTTCTTCAAAGTGCGTCATAACCAGACAGTCATTTTCAGGCCTCACCTGACTCCCACCACCTGCACCCCCAGCTCCTTGGCCTTCTCCAGCAGGCGCCTGCAGTCCTTGAGGGAACAGCCGAACGCCATGCTCATCTCGTCGCCCTGGCTGGAAGCTTCTGTTGAAACTTGTAGCAGCAGCCTTTATTAAAAAAACAATCTGTGTTAGTGGTTTGCTGACAAAACAAGAAATCAGACAAAAATAAATAAGTGGTTCAAAATCAGAATGAGTTGACGGCACGCACATTAAATCACAAAATATTGCATCTGAGACCAAATAAATTTTTTAAGCTTGATTTGGCAAAGATTTTGTTATTGGCAAACCCAAAGTGGAAGAAGAATGTATTTAAAAAAGGGAAATCCTGCAAGACAGATTCTAATGACTCCTAAAAGGTCATATGATTGCACAAAGCCAATTACCTGACAATGTTAAACTAGAAGCTTTCAGGTCACATGATCACTGGCACCAGTACTAACACTCTTTGAGCTCTTACTTGGCATTGGGGTGGTAGCGAGTAATCTTGCGCAGCTCGGCTTCATTATCACACACCAAGAGGTCAATGCCGTTTTTAGCAGCGTATTTAATCTGGGACACTTGTTTGCAAACACCGCTGTAGATGATATCTTCAGAGGGAATACCATGGCTCTGCACCAACTCAAGCTCAGACTGTAACACAAAAGATACAGATCATTATTCCATTATTATGTGTAAGTGGGCTAGTTAATAGACATATGATCATACCAGGTACATCCTGCATGGTTTAATACAGACAAAATAAAAAATACAGACAAAATAAAGAATACATAAAAAAGGTAGACAGGCTCTCGTAGGAGAAGAAGTGCTAAAATATTGAACAGATTTGTTTTAAACTCCCTTTTATGACTGATTTTTTTTTTACCTCTGTTTAACCAGCTAAGTCAATTGAGAGCAAATTCTTATTTACAATGACAACCTGGCTAAAAGACAGCAAAAAAAACAGAAACAAGATGTTAAAACATAGATACAACTAGTGCAATAAGCCAGGCGGGGGCTAGTAGGGGCTAGTGAATTAATTTCAGTTTTCCGCACTCTCGTGGGAATATCTCCGCAATGGAGCGAGCTTAAGTTTCACTTTCGATTGCATGATATAGCCCAGCGCAACACTTCCGTCAAGCATGTTGCCACTTGTTTGTACCATTTTCAGGCGATTCGTAATCTGTTCTAGGAAAACGATGTGTTTTTTAGGATTTCAAGAAGCATATCGAATGGATGTATTTTATGAACATTTATCCATGCTGAAAGTAGATTTAGATGTGTTAGGAGTGAGATAGAGATTATTATCTAATATATGCATCTGATGAAGCATTGCATGAAGTCTGTTGATGATCAGAGGTTGTTGTTGGGGCTGCATAAACGTTTTTTTATTTTGGAGACAGACCATGCAGGCCTCAGAGAGTTAAACTTGGGCCTGCGACCATAGTTTTATTGTATTTTGTTTTGAAAATCCACAGCGGAGGTTTGTGTCGTACTACATGCGGTGGATTTTGCATATCTCTCAGTAGCCAACAATCTGTGAGTCTGTTGGCTCGGACATAAACTCATGTTTAAAATAATACTACATAATAAATGTAGTCTACATTTCATAATAAGAGGTGTAAAACCGAAAATTTGAACTAAATGCTTAGTCTCTAGTTGTATTTGTATTGTTGATTTAATGTGTGAACGAGGCGATATAGAGAAGGTTAAGCTGTCATTATTAGGCTGTAATTTGTTATATACTGTTGGAATGGGTAAGCAGGCCTATTGTTTTTGGATATTTGTGGAGTTAGGTGGTCCATGAGTGTTTTTTATTGGTTAAGTGGTCCTTGGTATGAAAAAGTTTGAGAAACACTGCGCTAGTGGATTGTCAAAGGGGGAGCCTCGTTGCGGGGAAATTATACAGATGACTAGTCCGCGCCTGAAAATGTCTATGCAAACGTTATTATTAATAATAATTAAAAAAAAAAAATTATAAAAAAATTAATCAATTTTTTTTAATTATTTTTTTTATTTTCCATTTTTATTTTGTAATGATCTCGCGACCCCCACTTTGGGAACACGAATAA